CCGTACCGAATACTAAACGAGTACATTCCGGAACAGGAGGCAGTGAAAATAACAGCCGACCAAGTGCTCAACTTTGTTCATTGGAAATGATGGGGCGTGCCCGCATACGCGGCGCAACCCTGCACCTGGAGGTCTATGACCTAGCTGCGACCCCGCTTTCAACGATCATGTGCTCCGGGGGCGCTGAGACGACAAGACCTTACTGCCGTTGTAAGTCTTGCGGCTCTGGCCGGTTTTCGGTGCACGCATTGTTCCTGTAGCAAAACTAATTATTTTTTCCCACTTCTCTGTGTGCGCAGTCGACGTAAAGCAGCAGACGCCGGCCTCGTCGTGAAGGGAAGGGTGATGGTGGGAAAGAGGACCAAGCGCTCCTCCCCAAGACGTCGGGATCAGGGAACAGGACTGTAGTTTCAGACGATGCTGTCAGTGCTGAATCTCGACTGCTGGACGTAGAAGAGTAGTTGGTAGAACATAGAGGTCCCTGATTGGCCTAGGGCCTTCCCCCACCACCGGCGTGGCGTAGTGGCGGGAAGTTACCGACCACTCGGCAACGTTTATGTTCTACCCGCTGTTCTTCTTCGTCCGTTAGTCGAAATGCACTGTCAGAGCGACCACAATTTGTTTTCAGAATCTAATCAGTTGATTTATCTTTGCAGCAGCAGTGCTCAGGAACCTGATGAAGGGAAGGGTAGGGGGCAGAAGACGATCATGGCCTCCTCCCCACGACGTCATGATGAAGGGACAACACTGTAAGTGTCACTCGGTGCTGTCAATTGGAATGGCAGTAATTTGTTTTCGGAATCTAACCAGTTGCTTTCCATGTGTTTGTTGCAGCAGTGCGCAAGGATGTGGCGAAGGTGAAGGACCTGGGGTGGTTGTGGTTGTTGGGAGTGGAGAGGCCCCTAACACCAATGCCCGTAATGCCCGACTGGGGAAACGGACGGCTGTTTCTCACACTTACGGTTTACGGAAGAGGTGTAAAGGTGACACACATGCAACCAGAGGAATGTATTAAATGTGTAACATTATGTACGGGGGCTAGTCTATCATGTATTATCCCTGCAGTTGAAAACGTACTATGAATAGGGAACATCGCAGTAACGGATGCAACCTGCAACAGTTTCCTGGCTAGTGTTTGCGCGTGTAGTACTGAGAGATGCAGGAATGTGATTTATAATTTATTGAACCACGGCCCTTTAACAAGTCAAGTAATTCCTGAAACGTGGTTCATTATAGTCGGCGATTTTTCAATTAAATTGAATGAACACCAATATCCGTATGAGCTAGTCATGTATGTATTAAGTTTCAGTGCTTATAGAAATTCATTTCATAAATTCATATGACAATAGATGTGAACGTCTAAGTACAAGAAGTACAACATAGTGATGTATGAAGGGTACAACATTATTCAGATATTGGCTGATCCTTTTCGTGGTGTGTGATATGATTCAAATTGCATCAGTATGATGAACCGTTTCTTTATATTATGTGTGAAATGTGCATTGGTACTCATATGAGGTAATGAAATGCATTGATGTTTGCTGGGAGGTGTTGTACTATGTCAAAATGTGAAATACAGTGAACCAATTGGAATTGCTACTGCGCGTAATTTAAGGGTGTGCTGGCACACTGCAAAATGTATCCCGCGACATGTCACCAGGTTGAGAGACACATGACGTTTCATTCGTATACTCAGCACACAGCAAATCATGTGCATTGTCAGTGAAACTGATCACAATTCAGCAACAGTGCAGACAGTCGGCACTTACTTTGGATTTGAATGTTATTTAGTGCTTTTTTAAACTTAATATTAATTAGATGAGATTAATTTCAAGGAAATTGAAATCAAATTTGGTTATTATTCATTTTCATCTGGGTTGGAATAGACCACCTACTCATGTTCAGCTTAGGGAAGCAATAAATAAAATTCATAACCAAAGTAAATTCACAGCTGTCATCCAGCAGCCGACAAGTGTTCTTTGGGCAACTGTGTATTTTAACCAGGATAAACACAAATTGTACAGGAAGTTAGTTTGACGCGCATATGCAGGCCTGGACGAGGCTAGCACCCCATATGAGTATGAGAAATATGATGGCGGATGGCGATTACTAATTTAAATGATTGGTATTCGCGCTCGCGTCTTATGTTGTAGCAGTTCTTAAAACGCCTATTTGCAACCGTTTTCTCTCAGTCACGGTGAACATTAACAATACGGCTCCAATTCGATGACCAAAGTTAGCCGTTACGTCAGGAGACGTATGGTCTCTCCCGGTTACGTCGACGATGATAAATAACAGAGCCTCGTGACACGGCTTCACAGTAGGCGACGAGCGAATTGCGGCGTGTAATTTACTTTCACATTGCCAGCAGCTTGTGACTTTGTCAGTTTTTATGCCGTTGACCAAAACAAAGTGAGTTTAGTTTGTGGTAAATGAGCAAGTGTATGTTGCTGACAACGGTTGAGATTCACAGGCCTACAGCCGCTTGTGGTTTATCAGCACTGCAGACGTGCGTAAAATGTGAACATTTATCAGTGCAGGCTGTATTTCGTAACCAAAGCACCCCTTTGGGAAAGGTTAAAATATAACATTTCCTTTTTTTTTACAGACATTACGGGCAGTCGCGTGCATTGCTTGTATATGCCTGTGAGTAGTACATACAAGCACTCCTGTAGAGAGTAAGCGACGGAACCGTCGAGCGTCCATTTGCCCGTGAATCGTAACACAGCACAGGACTAATGGGACGAAAGGGTGTCAGGAAATTTCTCAATGCTCCACCAAAACGTCACAGGCATTACGGCCCCACCAAGGTGAAGTTAAACTGGTTGAATGGTGCACTCGCACTGAACAATCTGCTATATTGCATAATTTAAACAATCATAGCATCCCCTTGCAGACCGTACGAGTCCGAAAGCCATCAGTGGAGGTGCCAACTGAGTCTGTAGGTGATGCTGGCTGCGCAATGGACTTCAACGGGTTTGAGGTAACCCCAACTACCCGGCAACCATTAAATAACGTGAGACAAGTGTCCAGTGGAGTTATATGTTTGTATTTCGCCTTCAAAATGAGTCACTGAATGCTGGTCTATCCTACAGGTTGGCATTACCAGAGACTTGCCAATGGCAAGGGTGATTTCTATGTTTGATGGAATAGGAGCAGGCAGAGTAGTTTTGCAACGGCTGAAAATAGCTGTAGAAAAGTATTGGTAAGTAAATAATGCAACCATTCACAGGAAGTTGTGGAATTTCCCACCTGTATGAGATTGATATGTAAACAGGTCACTGGAGGTGGATGAGCAATGCATACGCATACTTAATGAGAACTTTGATGATGTAATACATCTCGGTTCAGTAACTGAATTTGATTGTGAAGCTGTAAGCAACATTGGCTGCTGTCACATCTTATTAGGTGAGGTTGGCATGATAAACTTTTCGAAAGGTACGTCTACTGCTTGTCCACTAATCCAACAATATTTGTTTTCCATCAAAGCAGGCGGTTCGCCCTGTGGTGATATCAGTAGGCAAGTCACTATTCAGAGTCAACAATTGTGAGAGTCCTCGGAAAAGTATCTTTTATTTTACTTTATTTATAAACTGAGTTATTTGTTGTTACAGAGTCAACCCAAACCGCAAAGGGCTCGAAGATGTGAGTGGGCAATCTCACCTTTTTTATGATTATGTCCGTGTTCGCAACCAGCTAAGTGCTGCTGCACAGGCACAGGGAAGGAACTTTTTTTGGTTATTTGAGAACACATCCCATTTAGAAACAAAAGTAAAAGCCGCCATGTCAGAGTGAGTAGGTGATGTACATCAAAGCCTTCATATTGCTTGTACATTCACATGTAAAATGTTCTGTTTTAATTTACAGGGCACTTGGATGTCGTCCAATCGAACGATGTGCTACCAAATACTCTGCCACAAAACGCAAGCGCCTATTCTGGTCAAATATACCTGGAGTATACGAAGGGAGGGAGAAAAATGAGAGGAGAAGGTTACTCCAAGAGTATTTAGGCCATGTGCGCACCGCAATGGTCCCAGTTGCTAAAACCTTTACAACAAACAGGGCAGCACAGAAGAATGCTATGGGATGTCTGCCAGTCTCTTACCAGGGAAAACCCGAGGGTTTATTTGCCAGGGACTTGGAGGTGTTACTAGGGTTCCCTGCAGGATTCACTGATTATGGTGGAATGTCAAATACAGCCCGCTCCAAGCTACTTGGCAGATCTTGGTCGGTTGATGTGGTGATGGCCCTTCTCGCTCCTCTGAAGGACTTTTTCAGACCAGAAGAGTAGCCAACTGAAAGTGTGTGGCTCTCTGATTAGAAGTGTGCTGTGCAACTGCAAAATTGGTATTACAGCTTCGTTCCCATTGTAATTTTGGATAATGTTGAATCATTGCATTGCCAAACAGAATTTAACCATGGCACTGTTATTTTCAAGCTATTCGATTTCAATTAAGTTCAGTTTAATTTATTTAAGAAGGAAATACTTATACAGTTTTATTTTAGCAATGTGCACGATCTAAAAATAAACAATTACAGAGTGAAACCTAATTCTCACAATCATTTCAATAATAACAGCAGCGTTAAAAAGTCATCATGCATCATCTATGCATTTATTAGCACTGTTTTGTGACAGAGCTAATGCATTAGCAAATCAGATGCGTGGAATCATGAAAATTAGTGACCTTTTCTTGCTTAAGGGGGGTTTAAAGTTTTTAAATTGTTTTTTTGCATCTAAATGGATAAATGTAGTTTTTGGCCCCCTATAGATGGTCATGGTAAAACTGGGTGGAACTTTCATTTCCTATTACACACTGAACTAAGAAACAACAATAGATTGTAGGTATGGAGGTACCTTTTTGGTCCCAGACACTGAAGCGCAGAGAAAAGTTGATTGTTTTACTTAAAAGTTTGCACGCATGACTTCTCCATCAATCTTGGGTTTAAAAATCTCCCAGAAGGTTTTCCTGAATCAGAATCAGAAGGACTACAAATTGACACAGGGTTTTTGATATACTATGTAAAACACAAATTTTCTATAAAATTATTTGAGAAAAAAAGCTCATGAACTTTTTTTTTAGGAAAATTGGAGGTGATATGGTTATCAAAAATCTTTGTTTTACATACTATATCAAAACCCCTGTGTAAATTTGTAGTCCTTTTGATTCTGACTGAGGAAAACCTTATGGGAGATTTTTAAACCCAATATTGCTGGAGAAATCATGCGCGCAAACTTTTAAGTAAAAGAATCAATTTTTCTCTGCGCTTCAGTGTCTAATAGGAAATGAAAGTTCCACCCAGTTTTACCATGACCATCTATTACAGGGGGCCAAAAACTACATTTATCCATTTAGATGCAAAAAAACAATTTAAAAACTTTAAACCCCCCTTAATTAATGAGTTGCTGACACAAAGATTTACTGATCATGTAGCGGACACACACGAACTCATTTTTTGGAATGAAATTGATTAGTGATTACATTTTCTTATGGATCGGAGAGGTTAAAGCAATAGGTCCATTAATGTTTTACACTTCTTCATTTTGCGCAATGGTTTTTATGCTAGGGCAGCTGAATAAATGAATTTATGATGTTCCAACTGTTGCTAAGTGCTTATTAGTGCCTAAAAAACAGATGAGGTTGACAGCAGACGCTCCTGTAACAGACAGACACAGTGTCAAGAAATGAAAATAATTTGAAACTAAATCGAAGTATCCTAAATTACTACACATACCTGAGGGTCTAGAGTGTTCTGTGGTCACGCGTAACACGCCCCGGTCACGGTCTCGTCCGGCCACAGCGGGAAAATGAGGCGGCGCCAAATGATGGGATCTTGTTTTGCGGCCTCATTTGCATGGCACAACTCTGGACCCAAAGCGATGTCGGACCTAGGAAACCGCCATCGCTCACAGCGGCCGTCAATGGTCAACTCCTGGAAAAGTGGTCGCGCCTCTTGGAAGCAGCACACGATTTCCACTAGCCGATTGAACACCTCAGGATTGGCCAATCGACTCATGCTGGCAGTCGGCAGCTTACCCTGAAAAAGGGAATCGAGCATTAATGACGTTCGACAAAGTAGACACAAACGAACGAACGTAGGCGTAATTACCCCAAATGTTGCCAGCCAGTGTGCCTCCGCGACATCGCTCGCGGGTTGCCATGTGTGCAGGAGTCGAGCCGCCGCTACCTGGAATAGCTCGCGTCCTTCAACTGCGTTCGCTGCGTTGAAAAAAGAAATGGCGTGAGTGACCAGACCACCCACCGTAGCGCCGCTTTTTCAGTGCGCATTGAAATGATATCCGGCATCAAAATTGTGGTCAGGTTTGAGTCATCACCGACTTGAACCTGTGCCTCATTTCGACTTTTAACGACATCGTAACGACATCGTTTCGACATCTTTACAAAAAGAATTTCTCACTGGGGATGTGCCCGGGTGTGGGCGAGTACTCACCGCATGCATGTACAATGCGTGCTGACATAGTGCCCATAGCGCGGGGCCTGAAATCTGTAGATGATAGGACGTCCACGCCGGAGCACGCAAAGTTGACTCTGCGCACTGCGAATCCCTGGTCCCAGTACAGAGTGGTGGCCGAGTCGATGGCGCTCTCTGGCACGAGCGCACACATAGTCTCGATTGGCTCGACAACAAACAAGCAGGCCCGCCCTTCCGCCAAACGGAGTTGCCAGCTCCACTTCGCTGCGCCGGCAACTCCGCTCGGCAGGGGCCGGGCCTGCTTGGCCTGCCGGCGGCGATGGTCGGGCCGAAGGCCCGACCATTTCAGTCTCGCGATTTACTGAAGTGCATCATCAAATAAATAATGTGACCGGTAAATCACTTTGCATATTTGAGTTAAAATAAAGCGTCCTGGGGGGGGGCCTGCGGCCCTACAAATTTGCTCCTTGGACATGACAAAAGACTGTAACGGGGCAACACCGTGACTACATCCCACCCTTCTGCTTTGCTTACGAAATATTAACCCACGCAGTTTCTAGATTGTATATTGTTTGTCAAACAGTCTTAAAACTTGACTTTTTGCCATTGTTTTCAATATATCCACCTCTAAGGCCAAAACAGTGAAAGATACGGCAAATCCGAGGGGAGTTTCTGATTCGGAATGTGTTGTTTTGGGGGGGCACTCCCTCTGACATTTTACGATTGGACGCCTCCTTGTACGTCTTTATGTGCAACGTGGTCATTTTCGCCGTATTTTCGTCGAAAAAAGCACTCTAGCGCCCAAACGGTGCAAGATAAAGTCGAACGGACAAAATTTTCGCCCAGAGGGCTCTACTTTTACGAGTTACCCCTTAGGAGACCATAAAAAAAATATTTTTTTCCTACTTTTTAGACCAACCCCTATTTCTTTGTTACCCCCTTTCACCCCCTTAGGGATGGTTGCCAGGATTTGCACCAGGCATTTCGTTGTCCAGGAGTGACCCCTAAGATACCCTGAAATTTTCAGACCTCTAGCTCATCTCCTTCCTCTTACACGGACGACAGACAGACGGACAGACAGACAGACAGACACGAGAGCGGTTGCATAAGCCCGCTTTAATGCTTTTATTTAAAAGCAGAAGGGCGGGCTAAAAAAAGCTTCTCCATGATCGTCCTTCGATGTGCGACTGTCACCGACAGTAGTCGGTACTATACTGCACTCAGACGAGGCGCCGAGCGCCGGCCCGGCGCCACGAGAAACCAGCGGGTTTCCCTGCGCCAGCGGGCGTTGGGTAAAACCTGCAATCAGGAAAATAACATGGTCAGAGAAAGTGCGATGGTCGCGATGCAGTGTGTGGCATGGAATATTCGTTATTCGGTCGAAGCGGCTGACTCACGGCGCACAGCGGCACTGGGCCGTCAGATGAGAGGTGATGAGATGAGGTAATATGACGAGTGACGAATACATACAACACTAAGGATAATTTGTGTCAGTTGAAAACGGCATCAAGACTTTCCCAAACCACGGTGGCATGAGTCTCCATCACAGAGGAAAGATTTTTCACGCCAGTGCGGGGTGAAGCGCATAAAGAGCAGTTTTGGCTCGCAGAGGCGGCGATTAGAAGTAGCCGCCTTACGGCAACTAACATTTCCCAACCGACGGCCGCAAGAGTCACCACCA